ACCGCGCGCCTGGGCTGGCGGGTGTGGCGGGCGTGGTGGGAGCGGGCTACGGCTGGCTTCCCTGCTCGCGGCCTATCTGCCGCTCTCGCTGGGTGGTTGAGGCCGCAGCGGTGCTGAGGAGCTGTGGCCGATCTGCCGTGGTGAGAAAGGTTCTGTTCACGTCAGAGGCCTGACGCACGTCACCTCGCGAAGGCCACACCTGCTTTTGGAAAACATTCCCTGAGGTGGTTTTGGAACCACAGATTGCTTCGGCTCCACCGCGTCCTCGGCGTCCCTCATGGAGTTTCCCGGAACGCCCCACCAGACTCACCTCCTTGCCTGCGGGCCTGGCCCGTGTGAGGCAGCCTGGACCCTCGCGACCGAGAAGGCCACTACAAACTTTTAGCAAATCAAATGAAGCAGAGTTTTTCCAACGTAGGACTAGTGTGATGTCACTTGTGAAAACTGCAGAATGTGGTTCCTTGTTTGGGTGAGATAAATTGAATTTCCAAAATCGATTCCCCTGTGGGGTCTTCCAGGTAAACAGGTGAGGGAGACGATCTCTAAAAAAGCACAGTAATTCAGTTTGATCAAGGATCCGAAAGCGTTTTAGAACCAGGAAGCAGCACGCTAGAGAAGGGCAGAGCCCACCTGATAGGTTTGATTACTTCCTCTTTAGCGATTCTTATCGTTTACAAAATAGAAGCCTTGAAAGAGGAAATGTTTCTTCATCGCCCAGGCCTTGGGACCAGCTCTGTGCATAAGACTGTTTCGAGGAATCACTAAGAGATGATGAAGCAATTGCAAAAACAAAAACACACACACACAAAAGGGACTGCAGCTTGGTGAACAATAATTGTAGATGCACATTTTGGTGAATAACAATGTCATCAAAACCAGCATTTTTTTTTTCACTTTGGTTCTCAGCATTGCAAGCTGACACTTTAGCACTGTTAAAATTGGATTATGTTTTGTTACAAAATTCTGTTTTTGCCCTTAGCATTTCCTAATGACTTAACATTCGCATGGAGGAAAAAAAAATCTTGTATACTGTCTAGTTTGCTAACCATTCTGCCAAGTTGCTCCTAGACTCTGTCTAGGCAGGCCTCTTCCACACCCAAACGGTCTATCTAGTCAATGCCTAAGAGACTCAGGTATTTATTTCCTTTTCACTGAGTAACTGATAATTCTTTATTCTACTCAGTTTACAAATCTTTATTTGGTACCTACTGTGTGCAAGTCTGGGTGAAGAGCAGAAGATTTGGCAATGAATGAAACAAAAATACTCCCTGCTCATGTGAAGCTTACACTTAATAGCCAGGGAGACAGGCATTGAGTAATTACACAATTTTTAAATGATCATTTTCATAGATACTACAGGAAAGAAGTACAAGATGCTGCCTGGGGTTAGAAGAAAAAAACCAGACCAGTTCTGGATGGGCCAGAGAAAGCCTGAAAGGTCGGTAGAACTTGGCTACATGATGCAGATGAAGTGAATACACCAGTCAGAGGGACTGTCTTGTGGAAAAGTCCTGTGATGGGAGAAATTTAAGACCAAAGTGGCTGAAGCAGAGAACCCCAGTGGAAACCAGTGAGGTAGGCAAGGGCTTTATGAGCCCAAGAAGGGTTCCTATTTTTATTGACCCTAAGACAGGGCCCTAATCCCTGTTGGGGGCTGGGCTACAGCCCTCTAGGTCCTCCAGGCCACTCAGCTCAGGGTGGGTAAGCCAGCTAGCTAGGCTTCCTCTGTGTTTGCAGCTGCTCCCCATTGCCCACATTGATGCTTGGGCTCCATGATTGTTGGATTCTCATGGGAGCATGATCATATGTTTCATTGTATGTTGGCCTATGGTCATGGTGGAAATGGAGTGTATGGTGGATCTGTTGCACTGGTTTCATCCTGGGATCAACCACTCCTGACCTCTGACCATGGAGGGATTGGTTTCCGCTAGGCTGGTCCCTGGTGCCAGAAGATTTGGGGGCCATTACCTTAAGAGATAAGAAATCTTAGAAAGATTTGCTCTCAACACAAGGAAATAAAAGCCTGATGACAACTCTGTGTTTAGGTGAGAGAAAGTTCATGATGTTGTTTTTCTTGCAAGCCACAGGGACACAAGCCTTCAGAGTAAAAGAAAAATTACCTGCATATTATTGCTACCTCATTGATAACCAATACATTGTACAAATCTAAAGAATTTATAAAGAACAGTACGTTAAAATCCCCGTAAGGGAGGGGACAGCTGGTGGCATAGTGATAAAGGTGCTGAACTTCCACATGGGCTGAAGTTCCTGTCTTAGATCTGGCAGCTTAAAAATCATGGTGGACAGGGGACCAGCAGATGGCATAGTGATTATGTCACTGAATTCCCACGTAGTTGACTACAGTTTGAGTCCTGAACCTGATGGCTTAAAACTCACACCGGGTGCGTGTGCGTGTGTGCTCAACATTCCAAGAGGAGAATGAAGGAAAAAGGATCTTGGCATGGCCATTCCTCCTGGGGGAGGGGGGGTTGTGATTTCTTGCTTTCTGTCTCTCTGTCTCTCCAGCAAACACACACGCCCTATAGAAAAAAACCTCTCTCTTAAAAAAAAAGTCATGCTGGGTGGGACTGGCAGATGGCATATAATGGTTACGTCAGTGGACTCCATGTAATCAACTGCGGTTAGA